ACACAGCTGTCCGTTAGAATAACAGCAATTGTTTTTTTGGATCCTCTGTTAGTATATGAGTGAGAGAAATGTTAAAGAGTCAACTAAATGAAGTGCCATTTGTTGTGCAATTCAGTTTTAAGCCCTTTTAGGCTTATTCAGTGCATAGTGAACATTCCCAAGGACTGCAGTAGAACTTCCATTCTCCACCCTACAGACACACGAGTTTACAGTTGATTTTATGTTATTATCACCCCCCTTTGTTTTCATACATGATGATGTGTCACTTAGCAGAAAATTAAATGAAAACAAAATGTCAAAATGTGCGCTTGCTGAGGGAGCCTCCAACACAACCGAGCAGTTCTAAAACTCCCCCTCAGCAAAGAAATGTGCCAATGTTCACGCTACCTGTGTCACGGTTGGCATAGTACAGTATATCTATCCACTGACAGGTGGGTTGGTAAGCAGAGGACACTGATTTAAGATAATTGCCAAAAGAACCAGAAGGGAGATGAGGAGAATTTTTTTTTACTCAGTGAGTTGTTGCGTTATATTACATGGTGTCAGAAGTAAACCGACTTTAGACTGAATTGGACTACGAGATTGGAAGTCAAATTAAAGCGACAAAATACAAACAGTAACAAAAGAATATGAGGACTGGCAAATACCAGGACCACTAAAGGCATAATTGGAACCAGTTTGAAAGGGATTCTATAGTATTTGTGTTAGCCATCAATACGCTGCAGCTGCCAGGAAAACAACAAGCTGCTATTCTTCTAAATGTAGCAGAAAAAGATTCCAGAGAATACTATGAAAGCCTAGAAAGGCATATAGACATGGCTTTAGAGGACATAATGAATATTATGAGACAGGTGCTATGGACACAATAATAACTGGACAGATACAAGTTTGGCACAAAGAAATGAGGGCCTGCGGAACCGTTTGCACAATATTTTGGATTATTACGGTCACTAAGCAAAACATGCAGTTATGGAGCCTTGAGAGATCAAATTGTGATCGGTATTAAAGACAACAAAGTAAGAAGCAAGCTTCTGAAGCAGGAAGACTTGAGTTTACAGAAAGCGGTACAAATAATAAACATAAAAGAAATGTCAGAAGCTAACATGAAAACATAAGCAAAATGTAGAACAAGAGATGGAAATTGATGAACTGGCTGGAGAAGGAGGTGGAATAATACAGATGAAGATTACGGAAGACAGACAACATGCACACCTAGAAGAAAAACATAACAATGTGAGCAATGTGGACTCCGATGTCCAGCAGATGGGAGGGTGTGTTATATTTGCAACAAAAATGGATATCGACAACAACAACTTGGATTTATATAGCGCCCTCCACGCCGGACTGCGTCTCTGAGCAGATATTATACCAGAATGTGCAGAAACAAACAACAAAGGCCGGAGAGGATGAGGGGATGGAGAACAACAGAGATCACAGCGGATTGAAAGGAAGAAGAGAATATAGGAAAATGGGTAACTATCCAGAGAAGGAGGATTGCACAAGTGCAGTCAAGGCATGGGGAAATGTTGAGCAGCTCAGAGGTGGAATCAAATAGAAGTGAGGAGGAAGAAGAATACAATATTCATACAATGAAAATTACGGAAAAAAAGGATAGAGAAGAAAGAGAGGATAAAGAATGGGTGGTATCACTATAGTGTATGAAGGAGAAAAACACAGATAAATGCAAATTAGACAAGCCAGTGTGATATCATTAGAGAAATATATGAAGCTCGGAAAACCACAGACAAAAATGATGGAAATAGGAAAAGTAAGGTTATTGGCAAACAGCAGGGTATAAAAATAAAGTATATAAAATACCATTTTATCTAGTGAAAGTACAGGCGGACACATTGTTGTGGCTATGGGTTATAATTAAAATGGGACTGTTGAAAAGAATACAAAATGTAAAGAAAGAAGAAAATAAAAGATAGAAACTGAGGAAATAATAGGGAAATACAATCAAGTTTTTGGTAAAAGAGGGTTAAAGAAAGGTGAGTATGAGATAAGGATAAAGGACAATGTAAAACTGGTAATACAGGCACTGAAGAGTACCCAAAGCCATGAAAGGAAGATTGAGAGAAACATTAAAGAAGATGGAAAAAATCATAAAAGAAGTAGAAAACCCTAGTAATTGGGTGAATGTAATAGTGATTGTACAAAACCCAGACAAATCACTGAGAATATGCTTAGATATGCATATGCATATCTAAATATGCAGCTAAATAAAGCCACATGAAGAGAGCATCACACAACATTACGTTAGAGGAATTTTTTTTACAACACTTAATTGTTCTTTAGGGTCCCGGCAAGTTAAGCTGACAAAAAACAGTGCGTACTTAACAGCATTCCTAACACCTTTCGGGAGATATTGCTTTAGCAGAATGTGTTTGGAATAACATCAGCGCAGGAGATACTTCAGAGGAAATTAGCACAGATATGGACAGGATACCAGGGATGAAAAATGACATAGACCATATATTAATATTTGGATGGACAAAGGAAGAACATGATGAACGTCTAGAGAAAGTTCCAAAACATGCTTAGAGGAGAATGTAAAGTTAAATCGAGAAAATTGCAAAATAGATGACAGAGGTCAAATACCTAGGACATAATAACACAGAAAGGGTTAAAAATGGATCCAAAGAAGGTTGAAGCAATAACAAAGAATCCAGCACCTCAGGATAAGAAAGGGTTTAAAAAGGGAATGGTAAACTGGGTAGCCTGGTTTATCTCAAATGTGATGGAAATCAGATAGGGAATTTACATGGGTGAAAAAGAACAGCAAAAGGCATTTAGTAAAATAAAAGAAGCTGTTGCAAAAGCCACTGTATTAATTCTTTTTGACATAAACAATACTGTAAAGATATCAGTAAATGCGAGCAAAATAGGATTAGGGGTGGTTCTTAATGCAAAAAGAGAATATAGTTGATTATGCATCACAGGCCTTGCCAAAAACAACAAAACTGCACAAATAGACAAAGCATTTAGTGGTACTTTTTGGGTGTGAGAGATTCAAACAATATGTGTTTGGGAAAAAGATAGCAGTAGAGAATAATCACAAGCCATTAGAAGCAATTTTTTAAAAAGGCCTTAACGAAACACCTCCGAGATTACAAAGAATGTGCATAAGGCTGCAGAAATCTGGGAGAAACCCTGTATGTAGCAGATGCACTGAACAGAGCAGTGAGTTAAAAGGTACGAAGAAGATAAAAGACTAGAAAAGAGATAGTAAAAACAACAAAACAAGAAACAGGCATAAAAGAAGCCACAAGTAGAGATGTAGTAGGAACTGCCATCAACAGCATGTTGCACAATGGCCAGCCTGAAAACAAGAAGGTGCTCCAGAGAAAGTTAGACCATATTGGGATTACAGATGAATTATATCAACAAAAAAGAATAATATGTCTAGGGGAGAGAATAGTAGTACCAATGAAATTAAGAGACGTTTATGAAGAAGATACATGAGGAACATTGGGGAATGGAAAGAGCCAAGCAAAGAGCTAGCGAAATAGTATCCTGGCCCGGCATAAATGAACAAGTAGAGACCACATTGGGAAATGTGACATGTGTCAACATGAGAGGCACAAGGCAATCGTGGCACGAGAAACCACACAAACCTGTACAAAAGTAGGAACAGACTTCCTACAAAGAAAGAACTATCTAGTAGTTGTGGATTACACATCCTGTTATTTTGAATATCTAAACTACCAGGCATGACTGCAGGAGCAGTAACAAACAAAACACAGGAGATTTTTGAAAGTTTCGGAATAAAGAAATAGTGAAAGTGATAATGGACCACAATTTGTGAACAAAGAATATAGGAAATTTACAAAGGTTGGGGGAAATCGAGCGCAGAGCAGCATCCACAGAGCAACGGATGGTGGAGAGAACAAGAAAATATTGACGAAACTGCAAAAGAAAATTAACATTTAGCTATTTTAATATACGGAAACACACCAACACAGACAAATGAAAGATCACCAGCCCAAATGTTAAAATCAAGGCGATTAAAGGACAGATTAATGTGAAGAGAAAATAGATTAAAACCGCAAATGCATAGAAAGAATGGAAATGCAAAACAAAAGGGAGAAGGAAAAGAGATTGGGAAGAGAGATTAGACAACCAGCAAGATTGATAGAAGGTTAAAAGAGAAAACTGCAGAAAGAAAGATGTTGAATACGCAATTAAGATTAATTGGACAATTGACGAGGAGCCAATGAAAGGACACTGGGAGTTGGACAAAGGGTGTGTGAAATAGAGTGGAGCTTTATTGAAAGTTTGGAAAGACAAAATAAAGAAGCTACTAACACACCTGTGACTTGGATTGAGTTATATTATAGTGGAAACAGATTCAATAATAACTCTCAAGAGGGAGTTGGATATAAACTTGGGAGAAAACAACAGCAACAACAAGATTATATTTGTATAGCATCCTTCACGTCGGGAGGATGTCCCAAGATGCTGGACAGTGGAATACAAGGTGGAGAGTGGGAATAGTTGGTAGCTCTTTCAAAGATTTGGCATAGGCACTTTGGACCGAATGGCCTCCCTCTGTGCTGTATGATTCTGTGATTTGCTCAACCTGCCCCCACGTTTCTGTTATTTTTACTAAACTCAGGCTGGTCCTAACTGAAGCAAAGAAACTGGGGATGATCTGCACTGCGGTCCTATGGATGTTCAGGTTGAGACGTTTAATGCAACCATTTAAGTACTAATCTGGTGACTGCCTAGTTACTAACCTTTCTAACTTCAGGCAGCTCTTTGTCTTTCACAAACGGGGAAACTAGGCCCCAGTAAAACCCTTTGAAAACCATCTGTGACCTGAAATGGAATGATGTAGTCGCTTTAGTGAGTTGCATTTAGTTGTAGGTTGACAGAAAAGCTTTATTTGAAGCTCATGACTGCCACACGCCTCCCACCCTTTGCTCTAAATGGCTGTTTGCTTTCCCCCAAAAAATGATATGTCCCTTTGTTTTTACTCTCGTTTCTTTTGGGGGCAGTTGGAGGCCCACTCATCCGGGCAGAGGAACTCTCAGTGGGCGTCTGCCGGACAGAGGAGGCGTGGCTCAGAACCCGGAGAGAGCGAGTGGGAGGAAGATGGAGGGGGGACACGATCTCGCTCCACCAGCATCAGCACCACATCAGGGTATTCCGACAGCGTGAATGAAGAACGAGTCGTCTCCTCCAGCCTCAGACTCAGAAGGTTAATGTTCTAATTATATCCTTTGCAACTGCGGTTTGTGAGTTAGTTTAGAGACGAATAGAACGTTTACAGCATGAACTGTGGCCATTCAGCCATTGTATCATTGATTACAGTATGAGGTAATTTGGCAACTTAATCCTTTGAGTATTTTAAACCACAATTTACAGAAACGGTTGGAGATTTGGGCTATGTTTCCAATAAATGCATTGAATTGGTTAGTGTATCTGGGCTTGAGAGGCGGAGATTGACGGTTAGGGAGATAAGAAAGCAGGTCATCAGGGTTCAGATCAATCAAAAGGGTCTTTTTGGCTCTATCTTTCTATGTGTTCCTTTGGATTGCAACAAATAAACTATTTGCTTCCAGAATAATAAGCCACTATACATATATCACAGTAAGTTCTGTGAAGTAATTTGGTAGTGTCATTTACTTATTTAAAAACTTGGGGTAATCAATAGCCTCTGCAATTATACAGTAAACACCTGAATGTGTGTGCAGGTAAGTTGTATCTCACCCAATAATTCAAATTGGTTTAAATTTACATTGCAAATGCATAAAAGATACAATGGAGAGTGTTTTGTGAAACGATACCCAACAACTCCAGGCTTTTAAGTCTTTCAAGGGAGAGGAAATAGCTTGATTTAATTCCACGAGTAACATTAGACAAACGACTGTTTTTAGAGTTACTGTATATTAATGCATTGAAACTATTTTCGCAAGATAGGAAGCTGCTGTGACATGCAAAGGATTACTGGGACAGCCTAAAGATAGTATTTCGCAGGTTAACGTTGGTACAGTTTTTCCAATTATCCCACAACAATTACGTGTCAGCCAAGTACAATTGTCACATAAATTAAACAAGGTTTCTAGCTAGCTGGGGATGTTGTGCAGTGTCACAGCTATCACGCTGTACTTTTTTGGTTACATTCCCCTGCAGGGATATGTAGTCACTGCATTATTACCTTGTCTTTATAATGTTCACCACTCTGGATTAAGGTTCTTCTACAGTGGGTGAGGCGTAATTTAACTGTCGCTTTACTGTTCCGTAGCTAAAGCAGATGAAACCCTTAATTAAATAAGCTGTAAGATCATTATCTTAAAACGTATGATCATGTAGAGTTTTTTTTTAAAAATCCTTGAGTCTGATTTGGAAGTGAGTTTTCTGTAATTTTTCTTCCATTTTAAGATTCCTGCATTCTAACCTGGATTGAAAGTAGTAATAATAATAATACTTGCATTTGATATAGCGCCTTATCACATCGTTCAGACATCTCAAAGCGCTTCATAGAATATATTGTAAAGTCGATTGACCCACAGCAGCCAATTAAGCACAGCAGTGTCCCACAAGCAGTCCTAGATTGAGTGAACCCAGTTCAATACTTTTCAGATACATCAAGGCAGCAAAACCAGAGAGCACAGATTCAGGGTTATGAAGGGCAATTTCAGGATTGATATTTTTCTTGTTTTCTCACTATTTTTCATTCTTCCAGAATACCCACCTGACTGTTCCATTACAGCATCAAACTGCTTAAATTGGGGGCATTAACAATTGGAATGGGTTACTAGGAAGGGCAGTTGACGTTTTAATGTAGAGTTCTGTATCTTAGTTGATAGAGCACTTGCCTCGCAAGTGAGAGGACCTGGATTCGATTCCTGGGCAGGGCGAAAAGTTGGTAAGTTTTCTTACACCACACGCCTCTGTTTACCTAGCAGTAAGTAGGAACTCTGTTGTTAGTTGTTGGCAGATAGCTTTTCTGGCGGTAAATAAATAATAATAATATGATCACTCAATCCAGGACTTCTTGTGACAATGCTGTATGCAATTGCCTGCTGAGTTTCACCCACAAAATCCATTCAATTTACAGTATATTCTATAAATCGCTTTAAGATATCTCAAATATGTGATAAGGCACTATATCAAATGCAAGGATTATTATTATTAATATTGTAATACAAAGGTGGTAGGATGAAATTCAATGGGTTACAAGGCTTTCTTCGTGAGAGCCTTGTGATATTCTATCAAGTGCTGTAGCTTACCATTGCGAGCCTCTGTTATAAAACCGACAATAATATTTCAGTGAAGATCCCAGGCTAGTGCATAACATTGAAAAGCATCCAGCAGCTCACTGAACAAGTGCTGGTTACATCGGTTGATGTTGAATAATTCACACGACTTGTTCACTCTTTCCATTAGTAATAAACGGAAGCCGAGTTCAGAAAATAACAGTGTTAAACAAAAGTGGCCTAAGGAGACTGCAAAGGAAGACCCTTCAGAACAACCTGATACTGTGGTGCCAAAGGAGGACGAAATGCTTTTGACCGAAGAGAGACTAGCTGACAGCAGCGCTGATGAACTGATTATTATTGATGGTGACGACGCACCAGATATGACACAGAAAGTTATTCAGACAATCGTCAAGCAGGAGCCCGAGACTGAGGCAGTGGAGCCACCCAGGCTGCCTGAGCAGGGTTGTAACACTGAATTGGTTAAGGAGAACAGCTCCGACTCCAAAGGACCATATGGTCATATTCCGGTGGAGGAATTGCAGATTTCACAAGGAACACAGTTCATCAGGAAAATTGAAAAAAGTGACAATCTCTTCAGAGATCCCAATTGCTCGCACCTTGGCCAAGTAGCTCACGGAGAGGCTCTGGTGCAAAATGTACCTGAGATCGATCTGGATTCAACCAAAAAATATGCTGCAGCCACCGTGCACTTTCTAGATAACCAGCTGGACCGCTTGAGGAACTTGTTAGATGAAACAGCCAAAGAGAGAGAATGTTTTCGAAACCAGAACGAGGCAATGCTCATCACTATACAGCGGATGGAGAAGCAGCTCGTCGAGTACCAGCAGAAACCCAATCAGGAGGAGCTGGACGAGAAGGGGTTGGAGTGCGGCAGTACGGAAGTTGTGGAGGACATCAGAGCGGGAGACCCCAGCCTGGAGGAGATGAAGATGCATTGCCAGAACATGGAGCAGGAGAGGGACACCCTGACCCAACAACTACAAGATGCAGTGAAAAGACTAGAGAGCTGCTCATTGGAGAAGGATCAGTTGAAAGGACAGGCAAGTATTAGCGCACTTTGGGAAAGCGGGAACTATTTTGTCACTTCTATTTTTGCGCTTGTGTCTGTCCTGCAACAATTAGTGGCAACAGATCGTAAGTGGGTGTTCTCCCAGATCTACAGAGAGGTCCAACAAGCCCAAGGAGGAGACTGGCAGCTTGAGTTTTGTGATGTTGCTCACACTGTCTTTTCTGCCACGTTCCTTGCTTTCAAAGCCCTCCACGGCCATGCTCCTCCTCTGTGATCCATTAGCCCCATAGCGACCTGTCCGCTTCCTCCGCTCAGCAGATTCCGGCTTGCTCCATGTCCCCTGCCCGGTCCTCCCCACGTTGTTGAGTCGTCTCAAAGCTTTTCGCAGGATTTACTGTAAAGTCAATTGACTGTATTTGTGTAATTGACTTTATATTTTATAGAACAGAGGGAAAATAAGGGTGGAGTTGTCAGAAAGGAAAGTGCAGGAGGGTTTAAGGGTTTGATAGATCAAGCGAATTTTTAGGGAGACATTGGAGGGATGGTAACGAGTAAAAGTGCTTAAAGGAGGAGAAGGATCCAGAAGAGTAAGACTTGGAGGTGAAAGCCACACCACCACCACAATGGTTGGGTTATGGGGTTTGATAGAAGGTGTAACCGGGTGGGATGGCTTCAGTGAGAGTCTGAACTGATGTGATTTTTGCACCTGAACCATTCTAATCCCACTCTCCTACTTGCTCGCTCCCCTGGGCCCCTCACAGCCCCTTAACCTTCCTCTTCAACATCAGATTCATGGATAATGTGTGGACGCTAAAGTTTGTCAGACAGAATTCCCCACTCTAACCACTTCCGTAGAATAGGAATGGGTGAAACCTGGAAAATTGAATTGTTTGTGTCTCTACAGCTCAGTGAATTAGAGCAGGAAAGAGAGCAACTCCGATCGGATTATGAGAAGATGAAGCAGGATGTGAAGACCAGCACAAAGAGAGGGGAAGACTTTTACTGGACCAAAAAAGCAGCTGCTGCATATAGGTACTCTGAGCTGGAACTGATGCGGAATGAGATCGGAAAACTGAAAGGAGAGAAGTTGAGCCTGGAGGAGAAGCTAAACGAGGCACAGCAGTGGATCGCACTACAGAAGGAAGCTCGGGTACCCTCCACCAGCCAGGAATGTGTGCAGGTTAACAGGTATGGAAGTATATTTCAAGCAGTGCTTAAAAGCATCCGCTTAGCTCAGTGGTAGCACTCTAGCCTCTGACTAAGAACATTGTGGGTTTAAGCATCACATCAGGACTTTGAAATCACATAGTCTATGGTAACACTCAAATGCAGTGCTGAGGGACTGCTGCGTGTTAAAGGTGCTATCCTTTGAATGAGATGTTAAACCAAGGTCCCGTTTGCCTGTTCATGTGGATGTTAAAGATCCCATGTCGCTATTTGAAAGGAAAGGGAATTTCTATCTCCCTGGCCAACAATCCCTCAAATAAAATTGGTCGCTCACTCCATGGATGTTTGTGGGACACTGCAGTGTAAAAATTGATTGTCACGTTCACCCACAGTCAGTCAAATTTATCTACAGTAAATCACATGAAACTCTTTGAGACATTAGGATGTGGTAAGACATTGTATCATAAAATAATAGAATCATGCAGCACAGAAGGAGACCATTCGGCCCATCGTGTCTGTGCCGACTCTTTGAAAAGAGCTATCCAAATCAATCCCACTCCCCCGCTCTCTCCCCACAGCCCTGCAAACTTGTCCTCCCCAAATAATGATCTACTTCTCTCTTAAAAGTTGTTATCGAATCGGCTTCCACCACCTTTTCAGGCAATACTTTCCAGATCCCCAAAACTCGCTGTGTTAAAACATTTCTTTATTAACCCATATTTTTCTAACTGAAAATTTATTTTGTCCCAGATTAATCTCTAGAAGTTTCCCCACTACTGATGTTAGGCTGACTGGCCTGTGGTTACCGGCTTCATCCTTCTGCCCCTTTTCGTACATTTGCAACCCTCAAGTCCTCTGGCACCACCCCAGGGTCCAAGAAGGATTGAAAGATTGTGGCCAGAGCCTCCGCTATTTCCACCGTTACTTCTCTCAGTAACCTAGGATGCATCCCGTCTGGACAGGGTGATTTATCTACCCTTTTTATTACCCCCTCTTGGTTTATTCTTATCCTATCCAATTTCTCTACTCTCTCCTCCAATACTGTGGCATTGGCTGCATCCTCTTCTTTTGTGAAGACAGATGCTAAGTTCTCATTCAGTACATCAGCTGTGCCCTCTGCCTCCACAAGAAGATTTCCTCTTTGGTCCCTAAATGGTTTTGAATCTTTCTGAAACCTGTTTCCAGATTTGCTCATCTATCTCCTTCCCACTATTTGGTGGTCTATAGTATACACCTAACAGAGTACCATTCATTTTTTGCTCCTTAACTCGAACAAAATATTCTGTTTTTGGACCCTCTAGCACATTGTTGCTTCTTTTAGGGCCGTAACCGTATCTTTAATCAATATTGCCCCCATCCCCTCCTTTTTTTCCTTCCCTTTACCCTCCTGAATACATTGAGGCCAGGAATATTCAGCTCCGTGTTTGAGCCAGGTGACTGTTATTGCCACTCTCTGAGTCCTCTGTAACTTTTTTTTCTCTTTCCTGATGCTGCATCCTGATTCCTTTCCCCCCATTGGGATTAGTTTAAACTCTTCCCCACAACACTAGTTAACCAACCTGCGAGGACATCGATCACCCTGTGAGGACATTGGTCCCAGCCCTGTTCAGGTGTAACCCATCCACGTTGTACAGGTCCCACCTTCCCCAGAACTGGTCCCAATGATCCAGGAACCTGAAGCCCTCCTTTCTGCACTATTTCCCCAGCCGTGCATTCATGTGTTGGGGTTTGCTGTTTTGATACTCACTTGCACGAGGCACTGGGAGTAATCCAGAGATCACCACCTTTGAGGTCCTACTGTTTAGCTTTTTTCCTAGCTTCTGATACTCTCCCTTTTTTTCCCCTATGTCATGGATCCCAACTTCTGGATGTTTTGCACCGTTCCATGATGTCTTAGGACGTCCTCCCGTCTTGGGACGTCCTCCCGACGTGAAAGGCGCTCTATAAATGGAATCTTGTTGTTGTTGTTGTCTTCAACCCCGGCACCAGGGAGGCAACATGCCGTGCGAGAGTCACTGGGCTCTGCTTGAACACAAGGAATCTGTGCCCTCAAAATGCCTTATATTAAACTCAGCGGTCATTGCTAAATTAAAATATCCTTTAAAATCAAAAATAAGAATTCCCTCCCCCCCAGAGAGGCCAAACAGACCTCAGTATGATGGGTTCAAATCACTGGTTAGTTTTAAGCTCCTTCGTTTGAGCCACACCATTATACAGATTCTCTTTCTCATGACTTGTTAAAAGAAACAGATGGGAGGTGAAGAAAAATGTTTTCACACAGCGAGTTGTTTGGATCTGGAATATATTGTCTGAAAGATTGGTGGAAGCCGATTCGATAACTACTTTTAAGAGAGAAATAGGTCATTATTTGGGGAGAACAAGTTTGCAGGGTTATGTGGAGAGAGTGAAGGAGTGGGATTTGGATAGCTCTTTTCAAGGAGCTGGCACAGACACGATGGGCTGAATGGCCTCCTTCTTTACTGTATAATTCTATGATTCTATGACTTACTTCATCCAGCAATAATAACATTGTTTATGAAGGAGAAAAATTGCTTTTAAAAGGAATTTTAAGTTGAAAACATATATGTTGAAGCACTTCACAATATAAAACTGATACTAAATAAAGGGAATTTTCTTACCTTAGCAAATACAGCAGCTACTGTATGCCGCCAACATGCCACATTAATGAGATGAGTAGCCAACTTAATTCAAATTTGGGGAGTGACATAAATCAGGATAACTGCGAGCTACTCAGAGCTATTCGGCAATTCAGAAGGTACAGATGGAAGATGCTACTTGCAATAAAATTAAACAAATCTGGGTCCCAAATTCTAGACATTCCTTTGGTCTTTCCTCAGTTGGCTCAGTAAACGTATCTGTTCAGTTGTGCAGGTGGCTCAGCGGCTGGGGATGTAGAATCAGGGTTGTTTGCCTTCAAAGCCCTCCACACCTTTGCTTCTTCCTACCTCTGTGACCTGCTAACGCCATATGAACCTTTTTGCACCCTCCGCTCAGTAGGCTCCAGCCTGCTCTATTCTGTAGCATAGTGGTTAGAGCACTCGCCTCGCAAGTGAGGAGCCAGGTTTGATTCCCAGGCGGGGCGAAACCTTAGGCAAGTTTCCTTATTCCACGCCTCAGTTTACCTAGCAGTAAGTAGAAATCAAGTGGCGAATCCCTTTCTGGAGTAATAATCCCTTCAAAAAACGTTTTGGCCACTCAATCCGCAACTGTTTGTGGGACACTGTTTGCACAATTGGTTGACGTATTTCACCCACAAAATAGACAGTTAATTCACTTTACAGTATATTCTGTGAAACGCTTTGAGACGTCTTAAGGACGTGATAAGGCGCTGTATCAAACGCAAGAATTATTATTCTAAAGGTTTTTAAGCAATATGGCGAAGTATTAAATTAGAAGACCTGCCATGATCCAATAAACTGGCGGCTGAATGGCCTCCTCTTGCTGCTCTGAACCAAGTAGCCTTTTGCTTTGTCCCAACAGTGCGCTGGCAAAGCTGAAATCCCTGCGAATAAATTTGGGACATCTACTGGCCTGCGTCCTCCCTCACCTGGACTTAAGGGACATCAACTACGAGACGAACTCAATCGATGACATCTTGGAAAAAGTCATTGAAGAAAACAAACTTTGAGCACGGTGTTTTTTTTTACAAAACAATAACAACACGGCAGGAAAAAGGAAAGAACCGTACGTGGCTTGTGTTTGAGATGCACATAGTCCAAGAGAGAGCAACGAATGACAGTAATGTACAGGGAGTGTTGACACACTTCACACCACCGGCCACTACTGAAAGGAGCATGCACTTATTGATTTAGTAACCATGGATTTTAATGGAGATCATGAGAGCTGCCAGCCATTGGTGAAGATTGCTGCTCTAATATCTTCTTTCATTTTTTTCTGCCGTTTTGTTATTGTTCCAGTGAATATGCTAACGCAAAACCCATTTTCACAACCCCCCCCCCACCCCAACCCCCTCTTCCTTGCAAAGCATTAATACAGAAGGCAAGAATTTCAGAGAACTTTTCTGAAGACTTGAGCTTACTCTATAGATAGGGAAAAGCGAAATTGAGATTTTATTTACTAATTCTGTTGTGTAAATAACTGAAAGCCATAGATAATGTGCCGGCAAAAACAGACATTTGACTTCTATTGTGGTTAATTGTGGTTAATGTTCCCAGCCAACAAGTTACCACAGAGTTGGTGTGGTGAGGGTAATGTTGAATGTATGCTATTGATCTATATGCTATAGATCCAGGTTCATTTGTACTGCTCAATGCATTCCAGCAATGACCGATTTCAGAAGCCTGGACAAAATGGTATTGTCTAGAGCTTGTTACTGGGCCATGCAGACCAGAATGGCTTCCATAGAGGGCATTGCATAGGCAACCTGATAACCGTGCACATGCCACTGAAATCACCAACCTACCCCCTACCCTCCCCATCCTCCACTCCTGATCACAACCACCTGCACGGGTGCAGATTCCTGACTGTCCAGGGCCTTGGGATGTCGTCCTGACGTGAAAAACGCAATGCAAATGTAATTTCTTTTTAACAGAGGATTTGTGTTTCAAAATATATTCTGTTTGAAGGTATGGAAATTGTTGCGTTAGTGTTTGGAAGCTTACTTTTATATTCACATTCAAGGGTTTTCTCCAGAGGCCTTATTTCAGATCCAATTTGCCCATTAATTGGAGTACTGTAGCTCAGTGGTTAGATCACTCGCCTCACAAATGAGAGGACCTGGGTTCGATTCCCAGGCAGGGCGAAACATTGGGCAAGTTTCCTTACTCCACATACCTCTTGTTTACCTAGCGGTAAGTAGGAATCAGTTGTTAGTCGATTAGCAGATTGCTTTTCCGTGGGTAATAATCCCTTATTAGCTTTGAGACGTCTCAAAGACATGATAAAACGTTATATTAAACTCAAAGATTCTTATTATGTTCACAGAACAAACCACCTCAATTTGCTATCAACAACAATTTCAGTTCGTAGAGAGCTAAGACCAGTGTGTTGGCTGGGCTGAGGCAGTGCTGGAGTAGAGTAGGACAGTCCTTTTGACAAAGGGGAACAGCCATAGATAGGTTGATGTTGACCTGCCATATTGCAATGCTTTCATTAGAAACCAAGAGAACTTTGTCCATAGATAAGCAGAATAACTACCTCAGTCTTCTATCTCCTTATTCGGAACAGTAACCCCCCCCTCCCCCATGAGTTACTCAGAAATAGCCCTGCTCAGACCAATACTAGTTTCTGTAATTCTATAGTTATAACATCTAAGTTTGTATTGTAGATTCATAAAGATATGGTTTTAATGAGTTTGTCGATTCACGGAGAACACCCACGTTATCTCAGCACAGACCATGTTTAAAAAAAAGAGAAATGCCAATTTGCCGGGTGTTAAAATTAGTTCTTTCCCCAGCGTTCTCAGGAAATGCATTCCAGCCCTGAGTTAGCAGTGCCAAGGTGCTTCACTCAAGGCTGCCAATAGATCTTCATTGCACATCATTTTAACAGTGCATTCAGGTTCAAGAAGACCTGAATTTGTGCCACAAAACTGTCTGGATCACAACTATGTTGATCCAGGCGACTGGAAGGGAGCGTGTAGTGTACGGGAAAGAATACTCAGGACAAAGAAAAGCTCTTCTGAAATCTGTTCCCCACCCCCACGAATGAATGAAAACATAGCAATGGAAATGAATGTGATCAATTTCTACTGATAACCGGAAGTCTCTACTGTTGATCATTTGGGCAGTTTGGGGTAAAAAAGGGCAAATGATATCTTTCAAAAGCCACAATCTGAAATGGATTTCAGGGGCTTTGTTCAACTCTATTCAGCTCCAAACACAGAACTGGCCAGGGACTCAGCACCTCGTGCTTGGAAGATTGGCTGTTGAGCTAAAATAAAAATGCAATGAGAGCACTTAACGAAGGGGCATAATGAGAATTAAACTGTTTATTTTTGTGGTATATCTCACACAGGTTTCATATTTATTCACCAACCATCCAATAAGACTCATGTTTTCCATGATCTGTTCATTTGTTCTCTCTAACTTAATAATTTATGACTTTTGTTTCTGTTTTAAAGTGTTTTAATGCCTTATTCTTCAAGAAGAGACAGAGATCCTGAAAGTAGAATAATATAATTTTTAAATGTTTCTATTTTTCAAAAAAAACGAGTTGCAATGTTCAATTCTAAACGAGAGTGATATTCAATTGTAGCCATGCTTGGGAAAGTAGTCATTAGAGCAGCATTAATATTGGAGGGTGCTAGAAAGTGGGTTTATTGAATAATAATAATAATCCTTGCATTGATATAGTGCCTTATCACGTCTTCGAGACGTCTCAAAGCGCATCAAAGAATCTGGAAGCATTATTTAGTAACTCCATCTGTGTACACCATTTGTATAAATGAACTCCCTAAGAAGCAGAGACACAAACAAGCTGTTTCTGGTGTAAATAATATATAAACAATAATAATTTGGTTACTCAATCCATGACTGCTTGGAAAGTTGCTGTGCGCAAACTGGCTGCTGCGTTTTGCCCACAAAATACGGTCAATTCACTTTCCAGTATATTCTGTGAAGCGCTCTGAGGCTTTATCAAATGCAAGGATTATTATTATTTTGTTGTAATACCAGCAGCGTTCAAAATCAGGACGGGATTTCAGACTCAATCTTCCCCATCGAGCAACTGTACCTGATGTCCAGGACCACCCAGTGACCAGTTAGTGGAGGAGCATCATACTCCTGTGGTTTCAATGAACCATTGAAATGAGCTAATTAAATCAAGTTAGGCAGGCAAGTACTTTCAGCAGGTTGAAATGACCTATTCCAGCCTCAAACCTCTGCATTGCGAGCTCAGAAATACGGATTTTGTGAAACATTAATGTCCAGTGGGATTAATCTCCCTCTCCTGGCCTGTTCAGTTTGTGGTTAATGTTAAATGTTCAGAGCCAAGGGCTCTGTTTACATGATTTGATGTAAGATAATACATCTGACTTAGTGCAGTGCAAGACGAGTAGGTATCTATAGAGTTCTGGTTAAACCTAACTCTCTTGCCATTTTGACTGATTATGTAGATGTTACAAGGTGTACTTACAGAGGATGAAAGATGGAAACTTAAACCATCCATAAGGTTTGACCATGTTAATTCGCAAGTGACTTGGGCATATGTTAGTTATGTTAAGATTGCTTTTTTTTACACAAAGCAGCACCTAAGTTGTGTTTTCTGTTTGCACAGCACATGGCTCACTGATTAGTCCAGTGTTCGTCTGTGCAGATTCAAAATAAACCTCAACAAAAACAACTTCCATTTGTAATTTTGTTTTGTTTGGTCAGCCAGGTGTCTGATACGTGTGGAAACTCATCATCATGCTTAAGTGTATCCAAACCAAACTCAGAATTCCACGCATCCCACCTACACATGGAAGTTCCAGAGACAGATTGTTGGAGAGGAATGTGCACTCTCTCCCTGGAGGGACGCCTCCTGTTTACTTAATTCCGGAGAATATTAGAAGGTGGGAAAAGCCAAGGCTTGGGGACCCCCCAGAGTGTGCGTTGAGGTAACTGCTGGAGTTTAACCAGCTAAAACTGCATAGCTTGTCATTAATACAAGAACAACAACAAGATTCCATTTATTCAGCGCCTTTCACGTCAGGAGGACGTCCCAAGCGCTGTACAGTTGGGTCAGGACCCGAGCATTGGGGGGAAATGGTCAGGGTGAGGGAAGGGAGGGAGTGAGGAGGGGGTAGAGAGTCGAGAGGGGAGCTGAAGGCTGAAGGTCAAAGAGAAGGGTCTTGAGACCGGCCTTGAAGAAGGAAAGGGAGGAAGCAGCGAAGGCACTGGGGGATAGAGTTCCAGAGCCTCGGGGCTGAGAGGCTGAAGGCCACCGATGGGGGGAACGGAGGAGTTGGGATGTGGTAGAGAACAGTAGCCTGGGGTTGTCCTTCACCTCCAGGATTATCCTGGAGTAGAAGGATGACTTGGCCGAGGCTAGAGTGGAGCGGTAGATTTTGAGGAGGTCCACCCAGATTTGTCGGTGGACCGTTAGGCCAAATTTGACCCAGGTGCGTTCAGCGGCCCCCACCTAGCTCTTCAGTGAGCGGAGGTGGGTGGTGAACCAGGGGGAGGAGCGAGAGTAGGAGACAGTACGGGAGGTGATAGGGGCAAGAGTGTCAAGTGTGGAGGAGAGGGTGTTGTGGAGGAGGGTGAGAGCAGAAAAGGGGTCAGTGAGGGTTGAAGGCCAGAGGGAGAGGAGTTCAGAGGACTCCAAGGCAGCAGTTAGGGATTGAGGGGGCAACTTCTTCCAGGGGCGGTAGAAGATGGTGGTGGGTCTGGTGGAGGTGGGGAGGGGGGTGGAGGTGGTGAAGGAGATGAAGTGGTGGTCGGAGACGGCCTTGTCGGTAATAGTGACATCCGAGACACTGAGGCCCCGGGTGATCACCAAGTCGAGTGGGTGGCCGTGACTGTGAGTGGGGGAGTTGATGTGGAGGGAGAGGTTGAGTGAGGAGAGCAGGGAAGAGAAATCTGAGGAGATGGAGCAGGAGGGGGTGAAGTGCGGGTTGCAGTCACCCAGGATGATGAGGCGATCAGAGCAAAGGCAGAGAGATGTAAGAAGTGTCGAAATATCAGAGATAAAGGTGGGAGAGGTTTTAGGGGCCGGTAGAGGAGGAGGATTTTAAGTGAGAGGAAGGAGGGGTGGGAGAGGGTGAGGTGCTCAAAAGAGGGGAATATTGCGGACCTGCCTCTCTCAGGAACCGAACTCGAGACCACCACAGAGGGCTGGCTCGATTCTGGCATTCTGTGGCCAAACATATCACTTCGGAGCCAGTTCAGCTGGTTACTTCCTCACCCCCACCCCTACCCCAAAGGGGGATAGTCACTATTGGCTGTTCGGCTTCCGACAAGCATGGGTTTGAGCCCTCATTGGTAGCTCAGATAAAATTGATCACTTCATGACTGCTATGTTTCTCTATAAATACAGTCACTAAATAAATCCTGTGAAGCACTTTGAGATGTCCTCCTGACATGGAAGACGCTGTATCAAATGAAGGATTAACTTTAGTTTCTAATGTCTTTTCACCAGGTCCTGGGTCAATGAAGAAAGCTTCAAATGCTCGTAATAGATGCTTGTCAAATACTGCGCTATGTGCATGCAGAGCAAAAGGTCGGCAATGTTGGGATACCATTACAAAAGTGCATACTAACGACAGATTGTATCCTCACGTGTGTTTCCCTCACTGCCTGTTACAAACCAATAAAAAGTGTCTGTAAATAAAATGAGTAGGCACCTGCAGCGCGGATACTATCATGGATTGTGGTTGAGCGACAAAGTTGTAGAGCTGAGTTGCCTCTATTGATGGGGTCAGTCCGGGGGGGTGGGTGGGCTACTGGCCTTATCCCCTCCTCACAGGTAAAGAAAAGAGTGGGATGAAGCGATGGACCCCAGCAATGCTGCCTACAAGACTATTTATCGTTGAGGAGATGGGAAAGACGTTGGCTCTCAATGTAAAGCCGTAACAGATT